TCTCGACGTGGAAGAGTCCAGAATTAGTTAACTTTCAATACGAAAATGCGGGTAACATGCAGACACAACGTGTTACAGAGAAAAAAAGGGGAAAGAAAGATAAGTTCATGTATCTATCGAGAAGTTGCAGAGAAAAGGATATCATGAGAAAAGGAGTAATAATAAGGGAGGAAGAAAAGGAGAAAAAGAGCGGGGTTAGAAATGGAGGAATAAGAATACGAAAAAGTGAAAGAGAGAGAGAGGGGGGGAAATAAAGGTATAAGAAGAAGCGGAAGAGAAGAAGAGAGGGGAGTCAATAAGAGAAAGAAGAGAATGGGGAATGAGAGAGAGAGAGAGAGAGAGAGAGAGAAGAAATAGAGGAATAAGAAGAGAAGGATAAAGAGAGAGAAGATTAACAATAGAAGAGTATGAAGAAGATAAAGTGAGAAAAATAGAAGAAGAAATAGAGGAATAAGAAGAAAAGAAAGGGAAAAGTGAGAGTAGAGTAGAAATAGAGGAATAGTAATAATAAGAAGAATAAGAATAAGAATAAGAAGAAGAAGAAGAAGAAGAAGAATAAGAAGAAGAAGAAGAAGAAGAAGAAGAAGAATAAGAATAAGAAGAAGAAGAAGAATAAGAATAAGAAGAAAAAGAAGAAGAATAAGAATAATAAGAAGAAGAATAAATAAGAAGAAAAGAAGAAGAATAAGAATAAGAAGAAGAATAAGAATAAGAATAAGAAGAAGAAGAAGAAGAAGAATAAGAAGAAAAGAATAAGAAATAAGAAGAAGAAGAAGAAGAAGAATAAGAAGAATAAGAATAAGAATAAGAAGAAAAAGAATAAGAAAGAAAGAAAGAAAGAAAGAAAGAAAGAAAGAAAGAAAAAAGAAAAGAAAGAAAGAAGAGAAAGAAAGAAAGAGATAAGAATAAGAACAAAAAAGAAGAAGAAGAAGAAGAATAGAATAATAATAAGAATAAAGAAAGAAGAAGAATAAGAAGAATAAGAATAAGAATAATAATAATAATAATAATAATAAAAATAATAATAATAATAAAAAATCAGAAGAAGAAAAGAAGAAGAAGAAGAAAAGGGGTAAAAGGAATAAAAAATACGGATAAAAGAAAGAAAGAAAGAAAGAGAAAGAAAGAAAGAAAGAAGAAAACAGGAATCAGAAGAAGAGAAAGGTTAGGGATTAAGAGGTGAAGAAAGAAAAGGAATAAAAATAATAGAAAGAAAGAAAGAAAGAAAGAAAGAAAGAAAGAAAGAAAGAAAGAAAGAAAGAGAGTAGTAACAATAAAAGAATCAGAAGAAGAGAAAGGGTGGGTGAGAGAGGATTAGTAATAGAGAGTAAGTGGAAGCGAAAGGGGTAAAAGGGAATAAAAAATACGGATAGCAATAGAAAGAAAGAAAGAAAGAAAGAAAGAAAGAAAGAAAGAAAGAAAGAAAGAGAGTAGTAACAATAAAAGAATCAGAAGGAGAGAAAGGGTGGGGTGAGAGGATTAGGAGAGTTAAAAAATACGGATAGCAATAGAAAGAAAGAAAGAAAGAAAAAGTGGAAAGAAAAGAAAGAAAGAGAGTAGTAACAAAAAAAAATCAGAAGAAAAAAGGGTGGGTGAGAGGATTAGGATAGCAAAGGGGTAAAGGAAAAAAAATACGGATAAAATAGAAAGAAAGAAAGAAAGAAAAAAAGAAAGAAAGAAAGAAAGAAAGAAAGAAAGAGAGTCGTAAAAAATAGAAGAAGAGAAAGGGTGGTGAGAGAGGATTAGAAGAGAGAAAGGGGTAAAAGGGTGAATAATAAAAAGAAAGAAAAAAAAAGAAAGAAAGAAAGAAAGAAAGAAAGAAAGAAAGAAAGAAAGAAAGAGAGTAGTAACAATAAAAGAATCAGAAGAAGAAGAAAGGTGGTAGAGAAAAGTAAAAAGGAAATAAAAAAATAATAGCAATAGAAAAAAAGAAAGAAAGAAAGAAAAGAAAGAAAGAAAGAAAGAAAGAAAGAAAAAAGAAAGAAAGAGAGTAATAAAAAAAAGAAAGAAGAAGAAAAGGGTGGTAGAGAGAGGATTAGTAATAGAGAGATAAAAAAAAAAATACGGATAGAAAGAAAAAAGAAAGAAAGAAAGAAAAAAGAAAAGAAAGAAAAGAAAGAAAGAAAGAAGTAAAATAAAAGAATCAGAAGGAGAAAAGGGTGGGTAAAGAATTAGTAAAGAAAAGAAAGGTAAAAGGGAAATAAAAATACGAAAGAAAAGAAAGAAAGAAAGAAAGAAAGAAAGAAAGAAAGAAAGAGAGAAAAGAAAAGAATCAGAAGAAGAGAAAGGGTGGGTAGAGAGAGGATTAGTAATAGAGAGTAAGTGGAAGCGAAAGGGGAAAAGGGAAAAAAATAAAAAAGCAATAGGAAAGAAAGAAAGAAAGAAAGAAAGAAAGAAAGAAAGAAAAGAAAGAAAGAGAGTCGTAACAAATAAAAGAATCAGAAGAAGAGAAAGGGTGGGTGAGAGAGGATTAGTAATAGAGAGTAAGTGGAAGGAAAGGGGTAAAAGGGAATAAAAAATACGGATAGCAATAGAAAAAAAAAGAAAGAAAGAAGAAAGAAAGAAAGAAAGAAAGAAAGAAAGAAAGAGAATAACAATAAAAAAATCAGAAGAAGAGAAAGGGTGGTAGAGAGAGGATTAGTAATAGAGAGTAAGTGGAAGGAAAGGGGTAAAGGGAATAAAAAAATACGAATAGAAAAAAAAGAAAGAAAAAGAAAGAAAGAAAGAAAGAAAGAAAGAAAAGAAAAGAAAGAGTAGTAACAATAAAAGAATCAGAAGAAGAGAAAGGGTGGTGAGAGAGGATTAGTAATAGAGAAGTGGAAGGAAAGGGGTAAAAGGAATAAAAATACGAATAGAAAGAAAAAGAAAGAAAGAAAGAAAGAAAGAAAGAAAGAAAGAAAGAAAGAAAGAAAGAGAGTAAACAATAAAAGAATCAGAAGAAGAGAAAGGGTGGTAGAGAAGATTAGTAATAGAGAGTAGAGAAGCGAAAGGGGTAAAAGGAATAAAAAACACGGATACGAATAGAAAGAAAGAAAGAAAGAAAGAAAGAAAGAAAGAAAGAAAGGAAAAGAGAGTAAAAACAATAAAAGAATCAGAAGAAGAGAAAGGTGGTAGAGAAGAAGAGAGAAAGAAAGGAAGGAAAGGGGTAAAAGGGAATAAAAAATACGAATAGAAAGAAAGAAAGAAAGAAAGAAAGAAAGAAAGAAAGAAAGAAAGAATAAAAAGAATAAAAGAATCAGAAGAAGAGAAAGGGGTGGGTGAGAGAGGATTAGTAATAGAGAGTAAGTGGAAGGAAAGGGGTAAAAGGGAATAAAAAATACGAATAGAAAGAAAGAAAGAAAGAAAGAAAGAAAGAAAGTAACAATAAAAGAATCAGAAGAAGAGAAAGGGTAGTAGAGAGAGGATTAGTAATAGAGAGTAAGGGAAGGAAAGGGGTAAAAGGAATAAAAAAAATAGAATAGAAAGAAAAGAAAGGAAAGAAAGAAAGAGGATTAGTAAATAATAAAAAGAATCAGAAGAAGAAAGGGTGGGTGAGAGAGGATTAGTAATAAAATTAAAATAAAGAAAAAAAATACGAATAGAAAGAAAGAAAAGAAAGAAAGAAAGAAAAGAAAGAAAGAGAGTAACAAATAAAAGAATCAGAAGAAGAGAAAGGGTAGTAGAGAGAGGATTAGTAATAGAGAGTAAGTGGAAGCGAAAGGGGTAAAAGGGAATAAAAAATACGAATAGAAAGAAAGAAAGAAAGAAAGAAAGAAAGAAAGAAAGAAAGAAAGAAAGAAAGAGAGTAGTAACAATAAAAGAATCAGAAGAAGAGAAAGGGTGGGTGAGAGAGGATTAGTAATAGAGAGTAAGTGGAAGCGAAAGGGGTAAAAGGGAATAAAAAATACGAATAAGAAAGAAAGAAAGAAAGAAAGAAAGAAAGAAAGAAAGAAAGAGAGTAGTAACAATAAAAGAATCAGAAGAAGAGAAAGGGTGGTAGAGAGAGGATTAGTAATAGAGAGTAAGTGGAAGCGAAAGGGGTAAAAGGGAATAAAAAAATACGAATAGAAAGAAAGAAAGAAAGAAAAAGAAAGAAAGAAAGAAAAACAATAACAAGAAAGAAAGAAGAGAAAGGGTGGTAGAGAGAGGATTAGTAAAAGAAAGAAAGAAAGAAAGGGGAATAAAAAAAAATACGATAGCAATAGAAAGAAAGAAAGAAAGAAAGAAAGAAAGGGAGGTGAAAAACTAGAGCGTACAAAAAGAAATAGTAACAAGGAGAGAATTAGAAAGAAGGTAACAGGGAGAAAAGAATGAAAAGAAAAGTAACAGAAAGAGTAAAAGAGAGAGTGGGACAACTAGAGAGCAAGTGGAGAGTAACCGGAAGTCAGAGAAGAAACAAAAGCGTAAAAGAGAAAAAGGAAGAGTGACAAGGATAAAAAAAAGAAAAAGATTAAGAAGAAGAGAGACGAAAGTGAGAATAGAAAAGACAATTGGTAATGAAAAGCGTTTGTAAGAGAAACACTGAATGTATAAAAAAGATAGAAAGAGTGCCAAAAATAGAGAATTTGCGAAAGAAATCTCTTCGCTGAATCTTTAGTTTCACACCATTCGTTCTTCCAATTATTTACATTCGTTTTTATCAGCAACTGAACATTCAAAGCATCAACGTCGGCTTCCCTGGGACACGGTCGTAACTATAAACACAAACCTGGAAATGAAAATATATACCTTTTATCACCAACACCAAGTTGGAAAGACGTTATTGCCACCAGGTTTGAACAGGAGATCGCGACGGCCGATCAAGAGGCCAGAGTCAGGTCATATTTCCGAGAAGGTCATCTCTGTCAAACCACTTGACATGCAATCAGGACGTTCGAACTGTTTACTTTCCAGATATGATTGTCCGATAATAGAAGGGCATAAGACCGCTTTCTTTCTAATATAATTTTAACCTTTCTCCGCTTCCGTCACACTCTCTGTCTGTCTATCTGTCTGTCTCTCTCTCTCTCTCTAGGCTTAAGGCCAAATTAGTTTGAAATACCGGTTCTCGGACGATCATTTAAGTTAAGCAACATCGAGCCCAGTAAGTACCTAGCTGGGTGACCGCTTGGAAATATCAGGTGCTGTAATCTTGGGAATACCAGGTGTTGTAACGGATAGCGACTCGGAATTGTAAATCGGAGAGCCAAGTTCTAATTCCAGTTGGGTTCGTTAGATTCACGTTCGCACAAATAACCCGGGGGAAGGTATGATTCTGCCTTTTCTCCCCGGGTTAATTAGTAAAACTCATATCACTAAACCATTATCATCTCCCCACCCCACTGAAAAAAAAATTTTACAATCTTAAAATATTTTCTCTCTTTAAATAACCTGCAAAGGGCGATAAGCCGTAAAATACGAATCAATCATCTAGGCTTACTGCCATATCACGTATATATATATATATATATATATATATATATATATATATATATATATATATATATATATATATTGTATCAAAACACTTTTTCAATCTTTAGGACGCGTTCCTCATAGCAAAATACGGACAAAAATCCTTAAATATATATCCACAAATCTTTGTTTTTGAGTTAAGTTTAAAGTTTACAGTAGATGCTGTTAAATGTACGACCCAAGATAAAAAAAATTTTACAAACTTTGGTGCTACGAATCCTGTTTCCCCAATCGCAGGGATAAGCAGCAGCAAAGGTTGAATGACTCGGTTGTCTTCAATCTGTAAACGCAATCGGATATAGCCGTGTAGCCTCGCGTCCATTACCATTCCGGCGCGGCCGTTTGTAAAAAAAATCACATCTATCTGCTCAGGATCTGAATTGTTAAATGGAACACTTGTCAGTTCACTCCCTACTAGATACACATTAATCGTTGAAGACAGAATATCCACAAATGTACACGAATGACAAATATAACCTAGTTTACATGAAAACACAGCGCCATCTAGCGTAAACTATTTTTAACGCTTACATTAATAACTCAAAAACAAAGGATTTGCGGACATATATGGACTTTTGTCGTTGTTTTGATGTGAGGAACCCGCCCCAATGTGTTTAAAAGTATTTTTGATACACCATATATATATTATATTATATATATATATATATATATATATATATATATATATATATACAGTGTAACCCGGATATAAGAGACCCGGATATAAGAGAAACCCGGATATAAGAGAGATTATCTCTGGTTCCAAAGTGTTCCCATACTTACCTAAACAAAATAGACCAAACCCGGATATAACACACTTCTTCTCCGGTCCCGACAACTCTCTTATATCCGGGTTATATCCATATATATATATATATATATATATATATATATATATATATATATATATATATATATCAAACATGTCTACAGAGTTAAAGCTCAAAATATCCCAAAGTATTCAATTTTATACTTATAAGCACAATAAAAATGCAATTAGAATATTTTCATTAGATCCTCTTTTCATAAAAAATTATCTTCAAAACTTATGAAATTATAGCAGATAATAAATTTTTGTTGATATTATTGATAATATAATGCTTGCTTGCTTGTTTCCAAGTAAAACCGTCTGCTAGGGTGGCTAGAAAAATTCCCTATTGCAGATTCCTGCTCAGGCACATTTGTTTTTCTTCAACACACTCGAAAATCTAGTGTAATGCCCAAAGGACCCATCTTGACATTTATTCCTTATTTTGGTACCAAAAGGAAGTTGTTGCTGGATATAAGTATTTGTTTCTGTTTTGCTTTTAATTTGAACCCCAAGAACTTTGCCACATATTTAGGGAGACCAGTTTCTCTCACTAAAACGTAAAAATCATTCTGAGATAATGGCTGTGGTTCTTTGGTTGAAAACAGAATAATGTCTTCGTCTTTATCAGAAGGATTTTCCTTCGCTCGGTGTATATTTCTACGTAGTTCCTCATAATGGTAAAATATTGTAGACTTGCGCATGTTTATCTATCTATCTATCTATCTATCTATCTATCTATCTATGATTAATACAAATATAAAATGTGTCACTCAGCTGATTGATGTTATATTCAGCACGTCGACTTCAGAGTTTCGTAGACGAAGCTTTTTCTAATCATTCGGTCCACTCGTCAAGATGTTCCAGCAAGTGACTGCTGATTTTCTTATTTTTGTTATATTTATTTTAATTTTTTAAAGTTTTACTGTCACGTTTACGACGTTTAACCTGAAACAGAAAAATAAATGATATAAGTTAATACATTTACCGGCCTGAATGTTCGAGAAAGTTCAAGAAAATATGCGTTTTTCGACATGAATCGAACCTGTGTCCCAATTGATCTGACGTGTTACACCACTCAGCTACAGAGAAGCGTCTGGTTAGCAACGTCGAAATTACTGTTTATAAACAACAAATCTTCGACGATCTTTCCCGAATGATCATGACTGCTGACGAAACGTACCTTAACGTAAATATTGACGGCATATTATAAAATTATTATTATTTTCTGTTTATGCGTTATTTTAATGTTAACGTATGTGTTTGTGTGCAAAACTTTCAGAGATAGAGAGATATATATATATATATATATATATATATATATATATATATATATATATATATATATTGTTAAATAATATGGAGAAGTTCTGTCTATCAATCTTTTTATTCAAGCTTACGAATTCAGGAAAATAAATATAAAAATAATATAAAGTTACATAAAATGTAAGTTTTAGAAATTTGAAAGATTTAATAAAAAATATTATAAACAGTACTTGTCTATATTGTTTAACAGAACATGTTTGAGCTATTTCTTGCTGCTGAAATACAGTTTATATATATATATATATATATATATATATTTTTTTTTTTTTCTGTAGTTCACTGCTACCAGCAAGCAGAGATATTTCTTCTCCTGATGATGGCCATTTTGGCCGAAACTAGTCGAGAAATCTAAATGAAATAATAATAATAAAAACGAAATAATATTAATCTACAACCCAGTGTGTCTGAAGATTTTAAATTTTTAATATTTTTTATTGTTCAAGACACACACACACGTGTGTGTGTGTATGTGTGTGTGTGTGTGTGTTACGTATAGGATATGTAAATTCTGGAAATTATACAGGTAATACCGTACAGACGTTATATCGTTATTTTGACTTTTTTTTTAATAATACAGGGAACAGCGAAAATACCTCTCAGAAATTCCTTCCTCATAATGGTAAGAGCTAGATGGAGACACAATTGCCACGGACGTCTTACCATTAACTGGGAGGTATATGTCGGGGGTAATTCTGCCGCAAGCTGTTGAAACAAATAAACATTTTGTTATTTACTCGACTCACTCTACATCTCGAGGAGATGTGTAACCTGTTAATTACTCAAGCGGATGCCATTTGCTTATATTTCTATAAGCAGGCTTGTATTCTCATAAACGTATACATCGACTATGTTTACGCACGCAAAAACACAAGAGGAGTTGGGCATCCCTAAATGATATTAAGCGTATAGCAAGGTACATCGTCAGCTTAATAATTTGAAACTATTTCAAACAGTGTATGTGCGTCGGCGTGTGAGTGTGTGCATGTGTGTTGTCCGAGTGGCTGTGAATGTTTCTTTCTGCGCACGCGCGTCTGCATATTTCAATGTTTAGGAGAGAGACAGGCAGAGATGCTTTCTTGATCGTTTAATCAAAAAAAAAAAAAAAAATTCTGTATGAATGAAGTGTCCTTGCTTTCCTATCGCCAGGCCGATGACGTCCGTACTTACGTAAAGCTGAAAAGCAGAAGGGAGGTGGGGTGAGTTTCGACCGCCTTCTCAAATTCATTCATGGCTGTAGATAATGAAACGGAATAAGGCGCAAAAGAAAAGATACGCAGCAGTTATACCTGTTTGACGTTTTATTCTTCGACTCTTTCTTTCTTTCTTTCTTTCTTTAATTCTTTTCTTTTCTTTCTTTCTTTCTTTCTTTCTTCCTTCCTTCCTTCCTTCCTACATCTTGGCATTTATTTGCTTTCCGCAAATGGTCAGTTTTTTTTTTTTTTTAAGTTTGCGAGGACGGAATTCATATTAAGACAATAGACGTCATTAGATTCAGGGTCGTATCCCAAAATGGGTTATGAGAGAATGTGATAGCGATTTACTAAGTGAAGCTGAAATGTGATACAGGATCGAAAGCATAAGGCACTCGGTTGGAATTGATCTAGCGTCGAAGTGCTTAGATGTGGCACGAGGCTAAAAATATGGGACACCCAGTGAGGATCGAACTCACTACTCAGTCGTAATTGATCTAGAGGGACAAGCTTGCTAACCATTACACCACGTCAAAGTGCCCAAAGGAATTTCTAGGCGTAGCTTAGATGTGGCACGAGGCTAATAAAAATGGGGCACCCGGTGAGGATCGAACTCACTCGTAATTGATCTAGCAAGACAAGCTTGCTAACCATTACACCACGTCGAAGTGCACAAAGGGTTTTCTAGGCTTAGCTTAGATGTGGCACGAAGCAAAAAATAACGAGCACCCGGTGAGGATCGAACTCACTACTCAGTTGTAATTGATCTAGAGGGACAAGCTTGCTAACCATTACACCACGTCAAAGTGCCCAAAGGAATTTCTAGGCGTAGCTTAGATGTGGCGCGAGGCTAAAAATATGGGGCACACAGTGAGGATCGAACTCACTACTGAGTCGTAATTGATCCAGCGAGAAAAGTTTGCTAACTATTACACTACGCCGGGCTGCCCAAGTAGTGATTTTCTAAGCGTAGATTAGATATGGTACAAGGCCGAAAGTATGCAGTGAGATACGAACCCTCAATTACGACTGCGTAATTGATCTACTGAGACGAGCTTGTTAATCATTGCACCACGTCGGAGTGCACACGTGGTGATTTTCAAAGCGTTGCTTAGATATGGCACAAGGCTGAAAGTATGGAGCACCCAGTAAGAATCGAAGTCACTCCTCAGTCATAACTGATCTAGCGAGACGAGCTTGTTAAACATTACAGCACGCTGAAGTGCACGGATTATGTGATATATAAATGAGCGGATAGTACTATTTCCTGAGTATACTCCTCTGCCAATGTCTCTACCAAAACCTTATTACAGACGGCTGCTCAATATCTAGAGTCTTGCCTGTCGTTTTAC